TTATAACATAACTAGATTTTAAATAGTTAAAATAATGAAATTATGTAATAAATTTAAATATTTTCTTAAAACTAGAAAAATAATTATAACATAAATATCAAATTAATAATAATTTAATATTTTACAAAATTAATAATGAAATTATGTAATAATAGTATAAAAAATAATTTTATGGATTATTAAATTCAATAAATAGTTACTATTTTTAAATTTAAATAATGAGATTATTTAAATAACTAAATAATATTGAAAATAACTAATTTCACTTATATTAATTAAAAATTCTAGAAAAAACTTTCAAAAAATTAATAATAATTTTAAAATCATAATCTATATTTATTATATATTAATATATACTAAAATTAATATTTATTGTATTTTGATTATTTTTTTATTGTTTTTTGTGATAAATACATTCTCAATAATTAAGTATAAAATCAATTTTTGTTTTTTTATTTAACAAAAAATTTTCAATAATTATTGGAGATTAAACTACTGGTGTTTAACTTTTTAAGTTTAATTTATTGTACTTATTGTATTTTTGTAATTATTGTATTTTCATTATCAGTATATTTTCAATAATTATGTATTTTTGCAATAAATTTGCAATAATTATTGGAGATTAAACTATTATTATTTATTATAGACATATTAAAATTTTAATTTAGCTGAAATTAGGAGTGTTCATGGGTTGGTTCTGTTTGGTTGTAGGTTGTTTCGCCATCCAAATCAACTTGGTCAGGTTGGGGAGTTGGTCATCTGAACCTGATTGACCATTTGTGAAAACAAAACAACTTGGGTTGTATTAGTTTGGGTAATTTTTTTCGGTTTTCTCGGTCGGTTCCAAAGATTTAAACTTAAAAACTTGAAGTTAAATTTAAAAAATTAAGTAGCATTATTAAAAAAGTAAAATTAAAAAATTAAATTTATGATATAAAATATTTTAGACTAAGAAATATGAGAACCAAATTGGTCAAGTTGGGAAATTGTTGAGTCAAAGTTGACAAAAAATACTAGAAAATTGATCAACTCGAGTCGAGTTGGTCAGCTTGGTCGGTTTCATCAGTTTGATGAACAACCCTAGGTGAAATTTATTATTATTATTTTTGTATTGTAAAAGAAAATTATTAAAAGTGGTATATAAAATATAAGGGAAAATTTATGATGCAAGAAAGATATGGTATTGTAAGAGTTTTGATCAATCAAAGTCCACTCATGAATTTTGATAAATAACACCTAATTGGCTACCACATTTATGATACCAGTTGATTGGTCAAAAAATTTTCAGATATCATATGTTTCCCATATCGTAGTTGAACCCAAAATACAAATAACCATTAATTATTTAAAAAATAAAAGAATAAAACAATTATATACTCTTATGTGTTTCTATTATTTAGTCTTCGCTTAATAATTTCATTACATTGCACTGGTCCCTGCTAGTAACTTAATTCCTAAAACTCTAATATACAGCCTGTGATCCAATGACAAGATCAAATGAGTCAATGGTTCAATCATTTGACTATCCGAATTGAATATGTTTTTTTACCAAATCAATAGTTTGTTTTTTTGTTAAAAATTGGACCCAAAAACATGATTGGATAACAATTTGAATGGTTCAACCATCCGAATCAACAATGTTACAGTGGATTGAAAACATTGACTTCCATGAAAAAAAAAAAGAATGCCTTGCAGTAAGAATCAGCATGACACTGAATACTGTTGGGTGATGATGGTAAGTTATGGGCCGGGCCCATCCATGAAATTTTCAAATATAGAGAGAGAGAGATCAATTGCCAAAGTAGGCAAATTTTCTTTTCTGTACCTACTAATCTGGGACACGGTCTCAATTTCTACTAATGGTGGGTGGGTGCCACCAACCATGGATAATATTCCTGATGTGCGATATAAGTGCACTCATAAGGAGGGTACAATAAGAAATAAGAAGAAAAAAAAAGGTGTATCGTATGTACTGCTCCATCTAATACGTATGGTTTAGCTGTTGTCGAAGAGCGTTAATGGGTGCTGAGCTTTTAAATGGAGGTGTCGATAATCGCTATGCTTTGTTTGGCATTTGGCACCAAATATCCATCTAAGTAGACGATAGCCACATGACTCAACGGTTAAAAAGTTACTTCAACTCATCTCATTGTGTTCTAGAGAAATTCATGACATGTCACATTAACATTGTGTTTGGTATTATTACCGTTTCTACCTGAAACGCTTTGTGTTTATCATTTTAAATTGATGAAATATATGCATTGTCAGGAACTCACATTTAATATATGTCACTTTCCTGAATAAACCGTATATATATATATATATATATAAATATGGGACTTTATCGTTAAGTTTGTGGTTCAGTTAATAATTCAAAGCTTTTTAGGTAATAAAAGAAAATCTCAGTTAGAAACAGCAATTTGAGTCGGTCTGCTGTCCTCTCCAATGAGCATGTCGGGATTGAAATTGAAACGAATAGAAAGCTAAGAATCATGAGGTATTGAGGGATGGGAGGTGGGATTTAAAATCAACCCACCTCCAGTAGGTGAAACTTGGCGGCTTCAGTCCTCTGTGGCTTAAGGTAAAGAAAAGAAGGGAAAAATAGAAAAATCTTTACAAATTTTGTATAGGTTTTTTTGACTTTTTCTTCCCTATCTTTTCCTTCAAACCAAACATAATCTAAAGGTATTCCTACCTTTTCTTTCTTTTTCCTACATTTTCCTTCAAACCAAATATAGCCTAAAGATACAAGAGTGAAACTTTTTAGGTTGAGAGATGTGATTGTCACATCAATATGAGAGTTACTTCTCAGCTAGATTGGTTAAACTTTATCCCTACACCAAACAATGTCAATTTAAGGTTTCTATAAATAACCTTCCCACACGTAAGGCCCTAAGTTTGTTTGCACTAATGAAAAGTATGGGAGTGGAAATTAGTTGTGTAAATTTTGATTTATTTTTATTTTAGTTTTTACCATTTTTTTGTTTGCAGTGCAGATGAAATAAAACAAAACATGAAGGGAAGCAAACTAAAATCTAAAATAATTTAACTGAAATTTGCACCTTTTTTATTTGTTCACATGCATTTGTACTAGTACAAATGAAATTACATTGCAAATAAATAGAAACTAGGGCTCTCTGTCTCATGCGTATTTGTATTTGCACTCTTTGCAAACCAATAGTCTAAACCTGGCAATTGGGTCGGGTTCGGGTTGGGTCAATACACTTCGGATTGATTTTGGGTCGGGTTGAATTTTGGGTTGGGTTATCAAATGCTAGACTCTAACCCTAAATGTTCGGGTTAGGGTTGACCCATGGGTCAATTCAGGCCATTCTAAAAAATAACTGAAATTTAAAAAAAATAAAGAAAAACTACATGAAAAATGTCAAAATTAAAGGAATTAACCTTAAGATTCCAAATATAAAATAAAAAAACTTGAACATTTAACAATTTAAAAAGTAAACAATAAAGAGTAAAGGCTAAATAGAAAAAATTAAAGAGTGGAAACTTCTAACAATGCATAAATAGTCCCAATTAGACTCGATAATCGGGTCAGTGGATTGACTCATGACACAACCCAATCCAACCCAATTTTTTCGGGTCGGGTCAAGTCGGATCATTCTCACATTCAGGTAGCTAAATATGAGACCCTAACCCTGTTTTTTCGGGTTGGGTTAGGTCGGATTCGTGGGCTGGGTCAATTTTTTGCCAGGTCTACTAGTAGAGGTTCCGTTTTAGGAAGAGTGCAAATACAGATATAAGAAAGAGAGAGAGAGAGGCATCTTGGGCCGGGTTAGGCTAGTCTGAAAAATATGAGCCCCGTCCAGGTGACTGGTCAAGTGGTCCAACCGTCTGCTGAATGGATCAAATGGTTCAGTGGTTGAACCAAACGTGTCATTTGATCATTAACTGATTTTTTTTTTTTTCAGATGATTAGAGGGTGAAATGGACATAAAAATTTGGGTGCGTGTGGATAAACCAGTTTGACCGGCTGGTTGGAATTTGGGTTGAAAGCATTGTTTCAAGAAAAGGATGCTTACGGCTTATTAGGCAAACCCTTTACTCCCATAACTAGCTTGCTTTCCATTTGTAGGTTCCGTCTTAGAAGATTTTTACCTCCAAAGTTGGCAAAAAAAAAAAAAAACTTGGTTAAAGAATGCTGTTATCCTTTAGAAGAAGGCGATCTATTCATTTGATGGTTGAATGCATCCAACCAAGCTGGTCTTTCGTCTTTCATATCTCTTAGACGAGATAAATTAGAATCTGTTTGGTTCAGGTGGAAATTAAAATTGGAATGGAATTTCATTTCCAAGAGAAGAGAGGGAATGGGATTAGGATTCGACCCAACCAAACAATTGCCATTCCGATTTTGATTCCAGACAGACCCCTATTGTCGCGAGCCGAACGGGTCCTTAAGCCCTTGTTGATATTGCAAGAGAAGATGTTTATCTCATTACAACCTTGTAGTTAATTGTAGGACTTGACACAAACCTGTTAAGTCCTAGATATATAACAGATTCGGCACGTTGAGAAACTTGTAAGGAATTAATACTAAGGGTCTGTTTGGTTTGCAAGAATAGGGATTTGGAATGGGAATCGGAATCGGAATGGGCTATTCTGATTCCAACTGTTTGAGGGTATGATCATTCCCTGCTCCTAAATCCCATTCCTACTGATTTTAATTCCTATTTTCATTCTAACCAAAAAGATTATGGGAATGGACCATTCCACTTCCAATTCCAACCACGAACCAAACGGACCCTAAATTGTTGATGCTAGCTATTTTAACAAACCTTTACTTCTTTTTATCTTCCCCACGTTAATTAGGTCGCTGCAAATAAAGATATAGGATAGTTTGCTTGAATCTTAAGCAATCCTGGCAAGCTTAAGGCTTTAATTAAGCATATATTCGTAAGTTAGGTGGGTTCTCTGTGAGCAAGAAACATTATACCAACTGATGAATATATACATAGGTGGAAATCCTCCTCCCTATGTAGTGGTGTTGGGTTTCTTGTATTCTCTAGTTAAATCATAAGAAAGGTTTCCAGCAGGGTGTGATTCTGCAACCAAATGCTTGCCAATTCTCAGAAGAAAGAAACTTGCTACAAGCTTTGAATGGGTTAAAAATTCCCCATCATTTTCTATGTTTTCTTTCCGTCCCTTACTCATCCATTCCTTCATTCAACCTTATCGCAGGTTTGCTTAACAACTATTAATTACCCTTTCTAGATAATATCCCTATTGATGTATTCCATACCCAATAGTCTTGCTTGAAAGTAAGGAGTTTTCTTAATCTAGAGAAATAAAGCCAAGGGTTGATGCAATGAGTGATGTAGACAAAAGTTTCGTACATAATAGTTCTAATACAGCAGCTTTGCTAATTGCCTGAAAATGTTTCATTTGCTCATCATCGTCTTAACAACTTCTTCTCAGTGGTCACCTCGATCGTTCAAATCCGCCTTTTTCCCTGAAGTAAGGATGGTGGACAATCACTCTAACCGAGCAATTTTCAGCGTACGTGTTTGACTAAGTGGTATCTCCTAAAATCTTCATGCAACAGATTAATCACAACACCTTGAGCACTTGTGGGAGTGGTCGCGTCAATACTCGATACCATCTTTCCGTGTAACTAGGGTCAGTACATGGCATTCTTCATTATCTTGACCTAACGGTCCATCAATGCTTGCGGATAGCTTCAGTTCTCATCTGCTGCACTACTATTCAAGGTCCTAACTAGCTAGCTATGCCTATGCTCACAGGCTAATTCCAGTCTACCAGCATCCGTCATCCGTGTAGTTTCTACCTTGCAGGGAACTGGGCTAATTTACGTGGGTATCCTTTTCACCATATTTCGTACGAAGAATCTCTCCACTGTCCACTCTATTCTTTTCGTTGATGCAGGTCCTTAAATATGAAGCAAGTGCCTAAACACAACATTCCATGCATCATGGCTTCTTTCTGCATTCCAGCTGATATATGGTCGTGGATCAATAATCTCCCACCCATCACCCAGTGGAAAACCAATTCCGTTTCCGTCTGTATATGTTCCTCAAGATCAACCCTGCAGCCATCTCTCAATCTCTCCATTACAAAAGACCTTCATGACTCTTTTGTTTCCTTCTCTGTGATTGCAGATTTCAATTTCCCCATTTCTCTCTGGTCCTCCAAATCATTCAAACTCAACACCAAGGCTCCAGAGTCAATAGATGTGGGGATCGTTTACAATCTGTTCATCAATTTCATTAATGACTTCCTTGGTTACGGCCCCAGCAAGAACACCTCCTTTCTCAATATCCCCACCTTAGAAACCATCAGCAATTTCAAAGACATCTTCGATATCACCTTCTTTTCTCTGGCATTCCTCGTTTGCATCTACGAAGCCCCCAAGGATATACGATCAGGATGTCTAGATACTCTTAAGAATCACTTAACCAGATCCCAATCGAGAGAAGCATCAAAGCAACTCATGAGGCTCCTGGGCTCCAACATCGAAGAGCAGTGGATGAGGTCATTAAACCTTGCCATCACTAATTGGACCATAGAGCTTCAGGAATCCCATCACGCCCTAACAACAACGTTACCCTTGTTTTCCTATGCAATTTCGACAGTTGGTCTGTGGAAAGCTCAATTATATTGTCCGGTCGTTGCCATGGAAACTGAAAATTCAAGCAATACTGCGGACAAAAGAGTGCTCTTCTCGCTCAAGTATCACCAGTTGGAGTGTGTCATCCAGTTTGGTTACAAGGTCATAGTTCGTGATGAGTGGGTCGACGTGATGGTGAACGTTGATAACATAAGGTTGGAAATTAATACATGTGTGGGCTTGTGCTTGAGGTGAGGCTTCTTAAATTATTTTGTGTATTGCCTCATTCTTTCTTTTGTTCTATCAGATGCGATGTGACCCGGCTGGTGTCTGAGACTCTCATGGCAGAGAGAGGAGCTGGAGTAGCAGAAAAACATTTCCCTTCACGTATATCTTTGCAGCTCACCCCGACTCTCCAAACCAACGTGTTGTCAGTAACGGTGAGCAAATCCTCTGATAATCCGTCACGAGAGATCGGCACAGAGAAGGCCCTTGAAGCTGGATTTGATCCCCCAAACCCTTACTTGGGAGTAAAAGTTTCAGCTTCGGAGACCGTGACCATGAGCTTGAAACCATGGAAATTTGAGCAATCCGTGGATGGAAACGGTGCAAATTTGAATTGGTTCCTCCACGATAGCAAAGACGGACGAGAAGTCTCTTCTAAAAAGCCTTCAATGCTCAAATTGGTCCAACCAAAAGCTTGGTTCAAGAACCGGTATTGCAGCGCTCATCGGCCCTTTACCAGGGAAGGAGGGGTTATTTTTGCTGGAGATGAATATGGAGAGAGTGTTTTGTGGAAGGTGGATAGAAGCGCGATAGGGACAACAATGGAGTGGGAGATTAAAGGGTGGATTTGGTTAACATACTGGCCTAATAAATATAGGACAATTTATAACGAGACTAGGAGGCTGGAGTTCAGAGAAACCGTCCATCTTCCCATCAATCTAAGTTAAAAATAAATGTTACATAGCGAGCCCTCGTGAGCTGTGATCTCTCATCTCTGTGATGGTCACTGACCATATATTGTTTAAATAAAGATGGCACTGGCACTGTAATAACTCCTTAAACAAACCTTTTTCTCCAGTTCTTGCATGGAAACAAAAGCGCAGAACATCAAAATGCGATGGGGAAAAATTAACTCAAAACAAATCTAAACTTTGTGAATTGTTACTTGCGTAACTCTGCACAAGACAGACTTTAGTTCTTCTGGTGCACTATTTCTTCCTGTACAAAGGCAATTTTCTTTATGGTATGTGCAATAAAGCATGCACACCGAAACGATAAAAAAATGTTTATAATATTTAACAAGAGCCAGATTTTCACAGATCAAGGTTCAAAGTATCAACAAGTATCAGCCGATACATATCGTTCCAGGACCCCTCCGATATGCCCCTACAGTAGGTGTATCGGAGGTCTAACTGGTTCAGGGGGTAGAGAAGACCTAAACCAGCCCCCCTGAACCAGTTGCAAAAAAAAATTAAAAAAGCATCTCCAAAATGTGTATCGATTCGCCCAATACACCCCTATCGGCATATCGAGCGTATCAATATTTTGAACCTTGCCACAGATACATGGTCATCGTAAAGCATCAAGCTTCTACAAGCAGTTCAGTGGAGAAACTGGCTGCTCTCCTATCGCATTGGATGTGTACTGTGTATCAATGTAATTACCTAAGTCTGAAGCCATCTATTATGCTTTGTTATACAGGTATCCAATTTTATATGGAAACAGGGTATCTAATTTAATCTCTCCAATATAAGGCAGCAGCTTAACTAATCCTCAGAAGGAAAAACATTTTATTCCAACAAACCAACAAAGAAGAAATCTTATCCCCAAACGAAAGTACTGCCACTATATGTTCAACAATTCCCTGAAATTAAACATGTCGATTACAAAACAAAACATGATGTCCCTTGTTGCGTCTCTACAACAGTTATAAGACCATATTGATAGATTGCCATAGAGTTTACTTCTACATATGCCATTTGGTCTGTAAAAAGAGTTCAGGCAACACACCAGAACTTCTACAGAATTTAGAAGGTGGACCCATTCCATCCAAAGTTGGAGCCCTGCAAATGCAAAATAGGAAAAGAGATTACGATTTAAACTTACAAGCTTTACAATTGCAGAGAGCATGAAATGGCACACAATACAAGTGCAGAGATTGAAGAAAAGCATTATTTGAGGGAATGTCTAGAAAGTTGAAAGCTAACAAAAACCTCACTCGTGATTTTAAACAGTAAAAGGTTATTTACATTATCTAGTGCTGATGTAAAGAATGCAAACACTGTGCATATTCTTGGCTTTGATGGGCCTAAACAAACAGGAAAAATGCAATGAGAAAATTTCAGATGATCCATCATTACCCAATGGGGGGAGTGGAGACACCTTGAAAAAATAAAATAACTTGCCTTTGTGTCGTAGAATTTGAGGAAGAATCGTGACTTAGGAACAGACAATTTGGTTTCAAGAATTGTTGCAATTGCACCACTCAGTTTCTTGTTTACTTCAGGATTGAGGCCCCCAATAGACACCAGCTCACCATAGGCTGCTGGTTGCTCATTTCCACCAAAAGACATGGGTACTGATCCCTTCAACACTATCATGACATACTGTAAGGAAATTACCACAAAATTAGTATAAATGTTTACTTAGCTATCAGGTAAATAAAGATACAACTAAAAGCAAACAAAGGGGAATACTTCAAAATTAACGAAAACCGCACATTCATGAACAAACACACATACATACACATCACATTACAAAACATTGGACAATGCCAACATAGTCAATACAAGATTTATGTAACTGATGGAAGCATCAACATAATAAAAAAAATGAGTACTCAATTTAACAATGCATATGAGATATGACATGAAACCAACTCGCAGGTGATCATATCAGAATCCTTTTATTTTCTGCACATAGTTATCTAAGTCATTTGCGAGATACTTGACAAGAAACCAATTTGCAGGTAGGTTCACATTAAATCAGCCATAGAAAATAATATAATACTTCAATTCTCTTAAAGGAATATACACAAAGACAGAGACCTATTTGTTTACCCCAATGGAAGACTAAAATATTGCTTATTTTAAAGAACCCTATTGATTTGATTTATATAACAAACAACTTGTAAAATAGTAAGGACACAAAATTCATTGATATGCAAAATGATCCATGGCATGGTAATGCCCACTTATGGAGGTTTTTCCCTCTTTGTTTTGCAATTGCAATAGGAGAAGGAAGCATTGGTTGCAGAGTACTTTGAAATGCAAAATGAGGAGGTGGTGTGGAGTATGCAGTTCAGAAGGAATATGAATAATTGGGAAATTCAGAATTTGGTTTGAGTGATTATTAAGCATTCAGAATCAAAAGCCATGTCCAGATGAAGACAACAGAAGACTAGAAGAGTAGTGTGGGCATGGGATAGATCTGGTGCTTTATTTGTGAGGTCCTTCTTCAACAATACTAATCCAATGGCAGCAGGAAATTTTCCTAGTTCAACGAAAAGGCACTCAGGTGTGCCATCCAAGTGCTTAACAACTAATAACCTTAATAAGAGAAGTGTGGTTCTATATAATGAATGTGTGTTGAGGTCATCTTTTCTGCACTAATATGGTGGTAGCAAACTGTGAGGAAGAAGCATAAGACTATTTAGGGAAGAAGTTTGATTTCCAAGCTCAGTTGAGGAGTTCTTTTGTGGCTGGTATTTTCTGGAACTGAGTAAAAGGGGCAAAGTTGTATGGAACATTACACCATATGGGGTGAAAGAAATGCATGGACTTTAGCATAAAATAGCTCCGAGGAGATGTTAACAAGGAAGGTTAAGGGCAGGCTGTGCTTGCTATTAATGCATAGGAGATTTAGGGGTATTTCCTATAATTCTCTTTCGTAAGTTCAAAGTTTGAGAATGGCCATCTCTTCTGATGCATAATTGCATATGGCGCTTGTGTAGCCCCATTGTACAATGTCTTGGCATACAGCGTTACTGATGTAACTTCTTGAAACATGCCTATAATTAATACAATACAATACAATACTTATCCACAAAAAGGAACTAAAAAATATGTCCTTTATTTCCACCATCATTTGGACAAAAAGCCTAATAAAACAAAAATTACCATTAAATGCAAAAACTCTTATTTCTATGTGCAAAATTATTACCATGTAAAGAAGGCAAACCATACTTTTAACACTAAAACAAAGTATAATCTAATTAATACCCTATCAAGAACTCCATGCACTAGCAAATCATCAATGAAAAAAAATATAAAATCCTACCCCGACTAAACCTCGTTCACTGAAGGCTGGGTTGCCGACTAAGAATGACAAACACAAATAGGAACCAAGCAAACTAGCGATTTGGATAACTATGGTTTTGCCTTTTTGGTTGAATTGGTGTTGTTAAAGTTGTAAGGTATATCCCATTCTAAGTTAATGCAATAAATTAATTGGAATTAATTGCTCTGTATGCAGTACATAAGGAGAAATCTGAAGGGAGGGGAGCAGAGTTGACAAAACAAAACAGGTAAAAAGAAAGTAATAAATTAGACAATTACAGAGAACATGGTGACTAGGGTTTTCAAAGAACAAAGGACTAGGCCATTTTTTATGCATGTTATATGGTAAACTGTTTCATATATGCCTCAATTAATCAGTTCGCCCTTTTCATTTCCCCCTTTCTTGGAACTTCTAGGTTATTGCTCAAATCTATTGAGTTATTTGGTTTTCCTACCAGAAATATAGTTTAATATTCTAAATCTTGAGCTACTAAGTCTAAAGGTATATTGGTTAGTAACAAGACAACTAAGTTCAAACTGCTGAATCACGAACATTTCCTAAATGCTTTCATCTGACAACCTGCATATCCCGATCAATGGGTGCCGAGTAATACCTAGGCAAGCAACAACAGTGATGAAGGTGGCCTAGATGGTTGATGTGCATAAAGTTAATTAATACGGTTGCCCAATAAACAATGGAAAAAATGAAGCAAAAGAAAAGGAGAAAAAAATCAAGATGTGAGGATCCACGATACATGAAAACTACCAAATGAAAAAAGAAAAAAAAAAAAAAAGAGGAAATAATGGAAAGAACAGAAACACGAAGGAGAAAGAGGGGAGAGATTTACGGCCTCCGGTTTTCCGATGATCTTAGCGACGGTCTTAGTGGCTTCAGAAAGAATGGAGGACGTATCGACTCCATCCAAACTCACGTTAGTGGACAGGTTCAGACAAGGCATCTTCTCTCTGTGTAGAAAGCAAGTAGAAGTTCAAAACCCTCAACCCTTTCTTCCTAGTCCGTACCGCTAACACAAGAGATACACACAACCATTCATTTTTCTTCCCTAATATGTACTAACGGTGACCGGACTCGGGGAGAGAGAGAGAGAGATAGAGAGGGGGTCTATGTGATTACCGAAAATGCCCCTACTGTTGCGAAAATCTTAGGGTAAATCATATAAACAACCCTTATAATTGGATGTAGTGACACTTGACCCTATAACATTTTTTCGACCCATGTAACTTTGTTTTGTAATAAAAGCTCCCCTAAACTTCTGCATTTCAGCACTTTGCCGTCGCCGTTACTATTCCGCCAATTGATTTCATAAAATATTTATTTTCTTTAAATAATTGTAAAACTCAAAACTACCCTTATGTTACTTTATAAATTCATTTACCATTTTAACCTAGCTTTTATTTTCTTTAAATCCTAATTCGTCTTAAGATTGTGTTGAGAACAATTTCTACTTTGGGTGCATTTGATTCCGTGGAAAAATCATCCATGTAAATGTTAGTTGATGGAAAAGTCAATCCATAATGCTATGTTTGGTTTGAAGGTAAATGTAAGAAAAGGAAGGAAAAGATAAAGTAACCTTTACGACCTTTATAATTTTCTCGTCTTTTCCTTTCTTTTCCTACTTTTTCTTTCAAATCAAATATAGCTTAAATTTAAAATTTAATACATTGATTTTATTGATGATCTGTTCATGGGTTGGATTGGTTTGGTTTTGTTTATTTTTGTCAATTGAATCAATCACATCAGGTTGATTTAAAAACTAATGGAAACTGAACAAAGTTAATTTAAAACCAAATTGAAATTAGTTATTATTGGAGTCAGTTTTAGTCGATTTGAATTCAACCGATCCAGCATTCTCCTTTATGGGCCCAAGTACAATACTTTGATAATGTTCGTGTGGGTGGATTTTATAGATGACTAGCTATGCCATGTTGTCACGAGGATAGTCGTTGGGGCCCCGTGCGGCACTCGAATGTGACGAGTAAGCCTAAGCAACAAGCAACAACACAAGAAAATGCAACAAATATGGCACACGAATTAGACAAAAGGCAAATTGTATTGCATTAATGGATGGCAAGCATAAGCACACAGTTCAGTGTCGAGGGGATCTCATGCTTAACCTTTACATGCTCTTGATTCACTCGACTACCTACCTCCCCTCAAAGAGTACGTTAAGCTTTTGGGGGAGTGACAATAAGAAACATAAAAAAGGTGAAAAAACATACTATAGAATTACAATAATGCCATTGGTAATCCCCCATATAAAATCATGCAATGCGTCACCCAAGACACACACTTGGACACTTGGATGGCAGGCTGTGGGCGTGGTGAAGGCACTTGACGGTGTGCCAAATTGGTCACTTGTGATAGTCTCCCCCACTCAATTCGATCTTCGTCCTCAAAGACCAACTTCTGCTTGTGGTGTGAGACTGTTGTTGGTGAATGATTCTTCAGCGACTCCACGAGCTTCTTCTCTTCCAAGGTCTGGGCAAGTGCTGGGGTGATGGGATTGAAGGTTCCTAAGGTACTGGGGAGACCTAAGGCTAGATGTTAGATTAAGTCCTTGGCTAGTGGCTTGAAGGTATGTCAAATGAGGCCTAGGTTGGCTTGCACTACTAGCTAAGGGAAGGATTGGTGCAAAAAGTGAGTTTGGATTAAGAGGGCGTTGGATGCAGAGGGGTGTTTCCCAAGGTTCTCTCCTCACAAGGTTACTATATGGGTTGGATAAAGGCCGAGTGTTGGAATGGTCCCTAGAGTTGGGGTGGCACTCTCTTCCCATTATGGTAGGTAAACTGGGTGTTGGAGTTGGCCTTAGGTCTTCCCTTGGGCCCATCAATTGCGGGCGTTTGCAGCTTCTGCTGATGTTGATGCTGGTGCTGGCACGGGCGCTGGCGTTGGTGTTGGCACTGGAAATGGAACGGTTTTGGGGGAGACTTCTTCCTGGTGACGACTTCCCAACCAGTTCCAGTGTTGATGTGAGATGATTGACAGGGGGCCTTTCTTGTTGACACGATGCTGGCTTCATAGTTGCTTGTTTCTTGGTACAACTGTAAGGTTGAAAGCTGCTTCCCATGTATCTGCATGGCTGATGATACGAGAACCATGCAAGGGGAGTGCTCATCCAAGATAAGTAAGCTGATAATGTTTGGCATAAGTGCTGCTTCCGCCTGCGTATGGAACTCCACTCCAAGAACAACCTGAAAATCATCCAAAGGTACCATAGATAGATTGATGGGTCCTTTCCATGGTCCAACTTGGAGTTCTACTCCACGAGCCATGCCNGAGCCATGCCCTCTACTGCTTTAGCCCCTGAGTTGACAGCCTTGACCCACCCTGTTTGTTTGGTGGTGGTCAAGCCGAGTCGCTTTGCCTCCACAAGCGAAATGAAGTTGTGGGTGGCCCCAGTGTCCACCAAGGCTTGGGTTGGCCTCCCACCGAGGGTGATGTCTACATAATTCAGCCCCTTGTGAGCTTTGGTGGGCCGCTTGGATGTGGCCTCTTTCTTAACCATGACGTTGATAAGTTGAAGGGCGCCTACTCTTGGCGTCGCTGTGGTTTTCTCCTCATCACTCTCTTCATCATCACTGAGTTTGGCAATGAGGGCATTGATTTTCTTCTACACAGGACAGTCGCTAGTCCAGTGCTTTCCATTGCAAATGTAACAAGGTGCGGGAGGAGTAGTGGGTCTCCTGGTGTACCGATGACCTTGATGGCTTTGGGCTCCTTGTGGCTTCTTCCCTTGTTGGTGATTGATGGGCTTGTCAGTGCGCACTGGCTTCTCCTTTGTAGAGGTTGATTGTTGATCTTCCCCACTGAAACTCATGGTACGTGGGCTGGATGGTTTTTGCTCTTCTTCCTTAAGTGCCCTCAGATCAACAAGCTGCTCAACTACGGTCATGGTAGTGGCGAGGTCCCTAACCCCGCATCATTGAAGTTCAAGCTCATCCCATGGCTTAAGAACGTCCATGAAATTGAACAGGAGGTCCTTGTCTGACATGTCGGAGATCTCAAGCGTCAAGGCCGAAAATTCCTTGACATAGTCATGTAGTGATTCTTGATGTCTAAGGTTCTTCATTCTTTGGCGTGCCATGTACTCCACATTTTCAGGGTAGAACTGACGCTTGATCTCATGCTTGAATCCAACCCAGGTGTCAATGGTGCGGGTTCCACGTTCAATGTCTTGGCAACACCTATGCCACCATAACACTGCGATATCAGTCAAATACATAGCGGTTGTACGTACTTGAGTTTGGTTGTTAATGATGCCAGTGGCAGAGAAATATTGCTCCCTAGCATCCTGAGCACCCGAGTAAGGTGTTGGATCGCGAATCTTGATGTGCATGGAAGCTAGGGTGGAGGGAGTGCTAGATGAGTTGACCACCGCCCTCTTTAGGAGAGTCATCTCGTCTCTCATCTCGTCCAATTGCGCTTGAAATCTGTCTAGCAAGCCCTGTAGGCTACTTTGGGAAGGCAAAGCTCCCGAGTTTTGTAAGGTGTTGTGCATGTCTCTGAAGGCGTCATTGAAACACCCTTCTAGTTCCACCACTGCATTCTCAACAGTCTCTAGGTTGAGGTGGAGTTCATCGACCCAATCTCGGGTTTCTCCCACTATCGCCTCGCAACGTAGCACATGTCCATGCTAGCTAGTTGGTCGACTAACTTGTCGCGCTTGCTAGCTTTAGTTGTGCATCCCTTTGGGGCTTGTGTCTTGGTGGGTTCATCGAGTGGAGCCTCATCAGTGTCGTGGGCTTGGTGTAGCCCGCGTAGTGTGTTAGCAGCAATGTCCCGATTGCTCTTCATTGTGTTAAAGTAGGGGCGAAGACAGGGTCCAATGTGTATGTAGGAGCTCCTGCTCTGATACCAACTATCACAGGGATAGTCGTTGGGGCCCTGTGCGGCACTCGAATGCGACGAGTAAGCCTAAGCGACAAGCAACAACACAAGAAAAGGCAACAAAGATGACATACAAATTAGACAAAAGGCAAATTGTATTGCATTAGTCGATGGAAAGCATAAGCACACAGTTCAATGTTGAGGGGAGCTCATGTTTAACCTTTACATGCTCTTGATTCACTCGACTACCTCCCCTCAAAGAGTATGTTAAGCTTTTGGGGGAGTGACAATAAGAAACATAAAAAATGTAAAAAATCATACTATAAAATTACAGTAATGCCATTGGCAATCCCCTCATACAAAATCATGCAATGCCCCACGTGGTGAAGGCACTTGATGGTGTGGAAAATTGGTCACTTGTGACAATGTGTCAAGTTCAGGTGCATGAATTTAATGACACAATTTGTTGTAAAAGTGGGATGGATTTTATAGATGGTTAGGCAGCTATATCCTATAGTTAGGGGTGAGAATTATTTGGTTAAAACTGAAAAACTGAATAAAAAATTTTGGTTTTGGTTTTTACAATTCGGCATTTTTGGTTTTTGGTTAAATTGATTTGATTAATTAGGTTTTTGACTAATTCAATTTTCGATTTTGGTTTTTAGAATTAGAAACTAGTCAACCAAACTTTCTATTATTATATGTAACATATAGTATATAATATATAACATATAATATATAATATATAATATAATAAAATTTGATTTCATAATATATGTTAACTTGACCTGATATATATACACGTCGTAAAATTCTGGCCATTTAAAGATCCATTGGTTTTTTATACAATCTAGATTTTATTGATGGGACCTATATTCCACGTGTTTGGACAGAGTGAAACAAATGTAAGAGTATAGTACAACCTATGGACGTGGGCCCCTTATTAGTCATTTCGTTTGTCAAATTTTGATGGAACTAAGGTAAGGGTAAGCATTCAATTTATTTAGTTAGAAACCTAATCGAATAAATCAAAATTTTAAAAACTGAATTAAAAAAAAATTAAAAGCAAACAAAAACCATATTATAGAAAAACCGATTTTTTAAGTTTGGTTTTCAGTTATAACATATAATATATATTAAAATCGAATTTTAATAATATATACTTTAAGTCAGGTAAAAAATATAAGCCATAACCGAACTGAATTGTTGGTTTCTACTGTTATC